TCATCAGAAAATACAAATATCCTCTACAGCAGAATCACTGACTTATCTGGGAGGAAGATCCTGCCTTTGATGAATACGAAAGTACTTCAAGACAACACTTCTCCCTCGCAACATCCAGGCTAAAGATGCAGTGGCATGGGTATTTTGTGTTCTGTTTATCCCACATATTTCACAGTTTTTCTGCATGTACCAATCCAAGCATTACCACCACTTACCATTGTTTTAAACTTCATCCTCCCCTTATTTTTCCAATCGTTTTCACTCACTTTCTGGAGCAAAAAAGCTCTAACAACGCCATCACCCTCATGCTGCCGAAACACCACCAGCACTCTTAGCAGCAAACAGCAAGAGACAAGCATAAAGCCAGCACAACATTTTAGTATTGATTTCTCTAGGAAATTTAAATCCCGCAGGGCATAAACATCAATTTAATCTGTATGCAACTACAAAATGGCTTCGCTCCTTGTTTCAGGCAAAACACTGCTACAACTCGAGTAGAAACATACCAGTTGTGAGGACAGACAGACTGAACAAGCACCCCAAAGCTGCCAGTAATTAGCAACAGAGTTAGAGGCTACAATTGTAGAATCCAGGCAAAGACAATCACCAGCCTAACACAAAGCTATTGCTGAGTGCCTCAACCAGTGGCATCTCACCTTGCCAAACTGGAAAGCAACCTACCATCAAGACGACCACCACTGTGCTGCAAAGTGACAGCCTCACACCTCACCTTCAGGCTGCCTTGCCTCCACCTGACAACATGAACAATGAAACAACAGCTCCACGTACTAATTGCTGTTTTCTGAGCTGCCCTCGCTCCACCAGGCTGCTTTCCCTGCAGACAAAGAGCCACATGTTATTGCTACCCTCAACCAGCAGCACCTGCTCAAGCAGCAATGAGCACCTGATGAAAACACTTCCTGAAAAAACAGAAAGGCAAACTCCATGTTGCTACATTTATGTAATCTTAGGCTGAGTTCTTTAAAGTGAAAACACCTGTTTTCTAATTACTGAGAACTCAGGCCCAGTGTGCTCTGAAATTCCCGTTTTCCTAGCCAAGCACTTAAACTGCTGTTTCGTTTAAGGATGCATCCTGTTGTATATTGAATGAGAAAGATGCATTTTCACACTTGACACACCAGTAACATATGGCACTTAAGAAAAAAGACTCCTTCTTAGTACAGTGCAAAAAACACAGACATGTCTGTGTCACCCCAGCCAATACATAAGCACCAAGTAGTGTCAGCAGAATTCAGGGCACCAGCATTGTTTGCAAGTGATGGATTTATGTGCGTAACAAACTGTAAATTACTTAATAAATACAGATGCAGGATTTTATGGACAATGCGTTTGCTTGCAAAACTTGGCACCTTCTATCCATCTCCCCCTGCTGATGACAGTTGGGTGGCAGAATCAGATTGCTGAAGGTATAAAAATGTAATACAATCAGCACAGTGGGCAGCTACAGTGTTAAGAAGCCACTAGCAGGAAAACAACGTGAATGCCGAGCCCTGCACAAAAGCTAACAGCTTCAAGACAACCCCCTACTCCAGATAATTATCCTACCTGCAAGGCAGGGTTCATTAATTGCTGCTGCAGCTTCACAGCTCTACCATATCTGACCTCATATCTACATACAGACTGCTCAGATTGCCATCAACATACCAGCACATCATTTAAGTATCTGTTGTTTGTACGTGTAACCAATGCCAGAACCCCAACTTTTGTACTGTTTTCCTTCAGCATACATCACATACACCTCTGTAGTATTTACTTCACTGACTGGTGACCAGGGAAGAAGATTTTCCCCCAAGAATCATTACTTTTGCAGGTGTTCACCAGAACAAGTTCACTGGGTGCAAGCAAGGACAACCATAATGTTCTCCAGCCCAGTGTCAACATGAATTTTCAGGAGTCAGGAGTAGAATCAACACTGACGTGATCATCAAGATTATTAAAGTATGTCAGTGGCTCAGAGTGATCTGCCACTGTAGTTTTATAGCTGCTGTGATCACCTGTGTCACTGAGCTGCAGATATTGTCATCTCTCTGTGAAGTTGCCATGGTTTTAACTAAAGAAACGTGTACGTTCCTTATTAGAAAAGGTTCCCAAAACAGCCAACAAGCACAGCTATATGATCAGCATCTGAACTCCAGTTGTGAGCTTGGCTTTCAAAGAGGATGGCTGCAAGCAGAAAAAGGATGTGACAAAAAAGATGTTTACGATACAATCAAAATCCAGGAAAATAAAAGCATAACAGCAAACCTTCAACTTATCTGCATGGATCTCTGAATGAGAGGATGTAAACAACAGGCACAGACCAAACTTCACTTGTTTGTTTCTAGATCACAACACTCTATCCAACCCTTAAGCAAAACAGGATACAGGGTGTTACTGAATGATTTCCCCTGAAATCTGATTGAGAAAGATTAGAGCAATTGGAGCACAGTGACACACACTTTTAAATCCCTCAAATCACAACTAATGTAAGGTCTAACTTTTCTCTCAAAGATCATCCGGCGACTCTCTGCCATTTTCAGCAGGCAGAAACACACATCCCAACCTCAAAGGAAAAAAATCATGAGACAGAATCCCCTGCCCTCTACTGGCACACAAGCTGCACTGAAGCCTGCATACACACACAGCAGCTGAAGAGCTGCTTTAAGGCTTAGTATACTATTCCTCATAGTTTGTGAAGATCTGTAATGTATTGGACGTGTCAAACTTGCTGCATAATCTCACATGAAAACTATACTTCAGCATCATTGCACCTCTTCCTGCAGAGCCAGGTAGAATGAGAAGCTTTAAAGTACTTCTACTAGCAAGATAATACATTCATTAACTGCAAATAAATTCTAAGAAATTATATAACACATGTAATGTTTGCAGCACATATCCAAGAACTCTGAAAGACAAAAGTAATTTCTACAAAATTCTCTTCCCCTAAAAAACCACTTTCTGGCATACCTGCAAGCTTTCACGATTACAGTCAGCCAAAATGCATTTGGCCCAGGAGTGGAGAAGCAGGTTCACAACTCTGCAAAAATGACTTTGCAGCACACCTTGATGCCAGATGTAGAAATCCTCAGCCAGATTTCTGGCTCATTTGCTCATTTGAGATGGTGCCATGTAAACCTCAGGATGACTTCATAAAGTGCTTGTTGTGACTGACCGTTTCACTTCCATCTTCTGTTGCAGACAGATTTAGAAGTGCCATCACTTAACCTTCTGGATTTTGCAAGTAGTTATTACTCACAGTAAGTATCCTCTTACTGATGTGAACAACAGATTTACACTGCTGTAATTGCATTTGTGAATGCAATTCTTGATTCCTGAAAGTAAATTCCCCATGTAGAATAGGCCTAAAAAGAATTGAATAAGCACAAGGATCCTGACTGCATCTTTCATACAAAAAGTAAATGAGGTTTAATCACATTAAAGCCAAAAAAAGCAGCCTGAAAAGCAGCACAGCTTTAACTATGAAACAAGAGAAAGCCTGATAGTATCAGAGTAACTCCCACAGAGCTCATCCATACCCTGAAACACGTTCAGAACACACCCTGTTTTCAGAGCTGTCACACAACAAATGCAGATGCAAGCTTGCCATCACCACACAAACAACAGAAGATGACATTTCAATAATACCACTAAGGAAAAGTAGGAGATGCATACAGCCTACACTATGTACAGCAGTTCTTTCTCAAAGCAATTCATCTGTTAGTTACCAAATAGCTAGACCCTCGGGATGAAACAAAGCAAAAGCATACAAGGTTCCAAGGAATCTACAGGAAAACAATCTCCTTTTTGCTGTAGATCCTACAGCACTAAAATTAAAAAAAAAAAAAAAGGTATGTGTGCTTTTAAAGCTTATGAAATCCTACAACAAGTGAGGTTTTCATCTGCCCTACTTAGCCTCAACACACGTAGAGACAATTTCTACCCACTCATTCCTGCGTCAGAGTTGTCTGACATCCTAAATAGTTCTTCTCCGACTCTGCATTTGTCTGAACCCTGACATTCATGAAGTACAAATGTATCCTCTTCAACCATGAGCTTCCTAGCTGCATAAGCCCATCATACTGCAGAGCCACACCTACGAACAGAGTAGAAATTGGTATTTTAAACACAATCTATTTGAATCTCTGTTTGCATAAATAACCTCCACAATTAAATACTGTTTCAAGTACAGAAGAAAAACAAAGTCACAACAGTATCCCTTGTGATTGCGGACAAGAGCACAGAGGTTGGAGAAAATAAAAGGCTTGTAAAAAAAGCGCTCAGGATTTGTTTTGAAGTGTATCAATAACCAACATTTTATTCTGCAAAGTCATTATTTTAGAAAACTCTCAAGAAGAGTTGAAAAGTGTTTTTAAGATGCCACTGGATGATGTACTGGCAGAAAAGAAAAAAAAACAAAACAGCTTCTCAAATTTCCTGTATTTTTCCCCTTGAATTACACAGGCAGTAGTGATTCTGCTCCCACCTCTATATGTAAAATACCAGCTGATTTTGCTGCACTAAAAATTCTGGAGTGCAAGATCTTTTCCTTTCTAAATCACAAGACAGGAAAATGACTTCTGTTTCATTAGCAGAAAACTCTGGAGATAAGTGAGCATCTCATGGCAGGTCCAGGAACTGAACATAGATTTCAGATTTTCTGAGTTACAGCCTGGTGCCTTAGGCAGAGGCCTAGTCTTTTTTTCACTTAACAAAGCTATCAAAGTCAAAGCTCTTATTTAAAAATTGACAATGCAGCTTAGTAACAAATAGCAAGAATACTTGCAAAGAAGTAATCGAAGTTAAATCGTTGCTGCTTCTTTAGTTAACATCTGCAAAAGCTTGTTCCCAGCAAACTGTCAAAAATGTTTCCAGCAGGCTCATTCAGAAGTCATACCAGTTTCTGTACGTACAATTCACAATACTGACATTACTGCCAGAGCTCCCATCTTTGTGTTTGAACTGTATTACCATTAGTTCTGCAGCACTGTCAGCATACTTACTGACTTTATACCCCAGCTTTTCAGCATGAATCCTCTTGGCCATGAACTGCCCTTCAATCAAGGCTCGTATTTCCACCTCCTTTGGAAAGTTCAAAACCTGTATCAAAAGAATGAATGCATTAAGTTAACCAGCATCTTACACAGTATACAACGCCAGGCTGGTGACAAGTTAAAAGCACAAGACAGATTTACAGCTCATTATCCTTGTCTTCACTCTGAAGTTAGCTTTCAACTAGGCCAGTCCTCTATTCGTATGCATAAGACACATAAAGACTCAAAAACGCAACCTGTAACCTTGGAACTGCAGGCAAATCCATCAGTCCTGAAATCAATGCAGAACGGAAAGAGGACTAGTGTGAGTTGTAAACTATTAGTATTTCTCAACACCAAAGGCTGCTTAAGGATCAATACCTCAAAAACTGAAAAATTAAAGTATATAAAATTCAAACGCTTCAAGCAATGCCAGGGAGTTTAAATCTATGCATTTCTGTCTGCACAGAAGTGAAACAAGCTTTTTGTTAGTTGTTACAAGTAGCATCTTTCAGTCCTCTGTTAACCAGATGAAAGCTGGCAGAAGTGGGAAAACATTGAACTAAAAAAAAAGAACGTTTCACAAAAAAGTTGACTTTTTCCATGTACCACAACCAGTGCCTACAAACTTGTGAAACAGCAAGAAGCAACTAAGCGCTCATTTAAACAGCAGGCACTTGGAACTTGGAAGAGAGCATCTCAGGCAAGAGATAACAGCAAACATTTCAAGCTTTGGCAGCACACCTTCAAGGTTTTAGGCAATAACTAGATTATCACTACCTTTTGGTTGTTGCTGTTGAATCTGTGAATCCCAACTGCTTCAGGAGTGATTTCCATCACGTCAAAGTAGAAACCTGCATCAGTCAACATTCAAGAGTGTCATGTTTTCTCCTAGCTCAAAGCTGTAATCTTATTTCAGCACAGAGCTGAAATAATAAATACAAATCATTATGTTTAGAAAGACATTTGATATACCATACAGCTTGTTTCTTAACTAATTTCAGTCCAGATTTAATAAGTTTAATTACTTTTGGCTTTACAAAAAAGAGGCTGGCTCTAGGCCTCTAACACTTCATTAGAAATCTAAGCAAAACAATAAAAGATAAGTCTACCAAAAAAGTTCCTATCCACCAGATCATGTACATATGCAAGTAGCACAGTACTAAGATAATATATAATAGAAATAGTTTCAGTAAATTATTTGCAAAGTTGAAAGAAAAAAAAATGAAAAAGAGAGGTTTGTAAGAAGTGTGTAGGAATAGCAGAACATTCCATGCACTGGATTAGATTTCATGAATTTATGAGAGAGCATCAGATGTTTTAAGTCACAAAGCAGAACTGGTCTCTGAATATTATTAATGAGATCTAAGGAAATGCAGTAATGCTTTGCAGACACTTAGAGGAAAAAGTGTGAAAAAGATTTCCTTTGTGCTGATGGCAATTTGGTCAGAAAAGATACTCAGGAAAGGAGACAAAAAAAAAACAAAACAAGAACTGGAAAGCTGATCAGAGCAGCTAGGAGGAAGCTAAGCTAGGAGAGCAGCTTAGGAAGCTAAGCACAGACTGCAAGGGTCAGGTCTTCAGAATGAGAATATGCTGCCCTAGGAGACCAATAAGCATTAGCCCCCAAGAAAACTTCACCCTAGCAGCTGCCTCTGCTCATCTCCACATCTCCAAAGCCTCCAAAGGCATCATCTTGCTCAGTGCGCAGGGAACAAGGGATAAAAGAAAGGAAGCCAAATCAGGCTCTTCTCCACTCTGCTTTGTTCAGGAAATCAGAGACTCCTATATTTTTACATGTTTAAATATCTCCAAATAACCCAGAAGTCACGCAAGGTTATCAGTTATCAAAACTGAAGGACAGGTTTCACAGAACATCCATTTTTATAGAGGACTGAGTTACCCAAGTGAATATATCGTAACACAAGTTTCAAATTCTAGGCAGTGTCCTGCTATCCCTGATACCAATAACAAGGTTTTCATCAACTTCCATTTTTCTTTCACTATTGTCTGACTTTTGGAATAATTTCCTCCTATCAACTGACCTGATTCATCTAGTGGCAAGAAATGCCTGACCACTTTAACACCCCCCAGAGACTGGATTTGACAGGACATAACATGAATTCACTGAATGGCCAGGGTTGGAAGGGACCTCAAGGATCAGCAATCTCCAACTTCCTGCCACATGCAGGGCCACCAACCTCCACATTCAATACCAGACCAGGCTGCCCAGGGCCACATCCAACCTGGCCTTGAACACCTCCAGGGACGGGGCATCCACAGCCTCTCTGGGCAGCTGTTCCAGCACCTCACCACTCTCTCTGTAAAGAACTTCCCCCTGACATCCAACCTAAATCTTCCCTCCCTCAACTTAAAACCATTTCCCTTGTCCTGCAGTTGTCAACCCTTTCCAAGAGTTGATTCCCCTCCTGTTTGTAGGCTCCCTTTAGGTACTGAAAGGCTGCCATGAGGTCACCCCACAGCCTTCTTTTCTCCATGCTGAACAAGCCCAGCTCCCTCAGCCTGTCCTCACAGGGGAGGTGCTCCAGTCCCCTGATCATCTTCGTGGCTCTCCTCTGGACCCTCTCCAACAGCTCCCTGTCTTTTTCATACTGGGATTCTGAACATGAAATCAGTGCTAACTTCACTTTGTCAAGAAACTGCATCTTAAATTCACTTTCCTAAAGATTGAAGTCTTCCATAGCTTAATAACCCTACAGTGTTTTTTAAAATCAATTTGACTCAGATCTAACATGATTACAATGATTTCAAATACAAAAGTCAAATATTAATCTTGATTATACAAACGCTCATCTTTCAATACCTTGAAAATGTTAAATTTTCAAAAATAGAATAATGTAAAAATTCAAATACATGATTTTTGTTAATATTTTTAAACTGTTTTGATTATTTCCTTTCATTCACTTAGCCTAATGTTGGGCAAAATCAGGGATGAAGTGGCCTTTACAACACATGTAGGGGAAAATGCAGGACATGTGGGTAAGATTTGATATTACTGCTTTATTCACATGCAAGAGCAAGATTCTAGAGAAACGTTAAGAGATCAGAATGATTGAAGACTGAGAAAAAAAAGCATGGGGCTATTTAAACCACATGGCTTGAGACCTCAGCAAAAAACAAATCTCCTTCAGAAATTACTCATTTTAAACAATCTGCAGTTAACTCCTTTTCAGTGGCCGAAAGAGATCCATAAATATCTTTTTCTTATTTTTAGTCAATTTTGAAGAAGAATACTGTAATGACACTCAGCCTGCCAAAGTATTTCTGAGCACGCCTGAAAAATTCCCCTTGCACAGCTCAACATAATTCTTCGTCCTTTTCATGACTCAAGTAGAAAGTAGGCACAACTCCTACTAAGACATGTCTTTAATCAACCTCAGGAAATCCCAGCCCTGCTAAGGCTCGTACCCAAGTTCCCATTGTTTCCAGCAGCAGTAGATGATAAGGCTTTGGAGAATTCATCCCAGGAGCCTGAAGCACACTCATTTCGGATCCTCTCTCTCATCAGAGAGCCGTTCTTAAAACTGAAACACATAAACATACCATATGCATTTTCCAAACCATTTGGCTCTAGATTTTTAAAGCAAATTGCTGTTTTATGTAATATTGCTGCTTATTACATCAATTGAAGACAGCTGGGCAATCAAAACTATACTATCCTCTCTTCATTATGGAAACAGATGGAGAAGCAAGAAACTGGGTAAGAGAGAAAACTATTACAAGACATGTTGATGAACACAGCGCAGAGATCTCTCCAATGAGTTGGCTTACATCAGGCCAGCAGATCACGCCATACTCAGTCTAGCTCTGAACAGCTACCACATCTCAGAGCACCAAGGACAGGAGTTGCAAACCAAAGCCTGGCTTATCATTGTTTCCTAGAGCCCAAAGCACTGAAGAACACACATCAGCTCTGCTCGTGCTGGCTGTAGAGCAGGACTTGGGGAGCTGTGTTTTTGTACTGAGAAATGGTCTGAATGGTGAGGAAGCTGACTTCCTGTCAGAAGCACTCTGTCATAGTAAGAAAAGGCTAGCTGTGAGATGACTGTAAGGAGGAAAAGCATCTCTTCACTGCATTACATCATTTATGATTTCAGGAGTGTTGTACTGGTATGGAGCCGGCTCGGGTCCAGTAAGACTTATGAGGCCTTGCTCCATGCCAGTATTGGCAAAGGAAGTCAAAACAGGGAAAAATTAGGAAAAAAATTGAAACTTAAATACAAAGCTTCAAAAATAGCCAAACTGTTGAGAAATCATATTATGAAAATCAGTAACTTGCAGTCAACATCAACATTCTAAACTCAACTTCACAACCCTGCTCCCACTGTCATCTACAGCATCCCATTCTTATTCAGATAAAGAAATCACACTTAAAAGGCAGATGTGAGCTCTGCTGAAGCACCTACAGTCTGATTTTGTGATACCAAAAAAAAAAAAAAAAAAAAAAGAACAATCTCAAAATCCAGAGGAAACAGGTTGCTTTAACCAGGAAGGCCATCAAATCTCCACTTCAGAAAATGCCATTTATACCCCAGCTAATTTGTAATAATTGAAACAATGTTACTACTATGACATAAGAATCAGCCCAAGTTGGGGGAATCAAAATTTCTTTAAGAGGACCGTATCTGTACACTCACAACTAATGGGTCCATCACACCTTAAGTTCTTCCCAAGCAATAGCCCCATTCACTCCCACCAATAAATTCTGTGCTGTGCTCTGTGCAATCCCGAGGATTTTGACTTCAAATGTATCTGTAAAATACTTGTATCTGTAAATATTTGCCCAAATACTCTGACTTGTAAGCTTTTTCCCTGAACACAGGGACAAGGTAGCTTCAGGTCCTCTTTCCACCTGCTTGCTTGGATAACAGCCAAACCATTCTCAGATCACAGCAGCCAAAAGCCACCATGAGGATCATCCTCTCAGCTCTGTTTCTTGAGATCTCAGTATTTTCCACATGCGCAGCCTAATCTGTCCCTGAACAGCACTGATTATACTCCTCCATGAAAAGGAACCTTTCACCTGCCCCTTTATGTTCCCTCTGGACCACTAGAATAGCACAGAAGTTGTACAGTCTGGTCAAGCTTCCGGCATTCCAGATTATTACATTTCAAAAGGCTATTATTCCTATACCTTAAATATACTATGTTAGATTCATAGTGAACTGGCTCTATGAATATATAAAAATAATTTTGTCTTTTTATTGCCATGAAAATCCATCCATCATAACTCTGCAGCTGCAGTTACCCACGCTAAACAATGAGAATGCTCTAACACTGATGCAAATGTTTCAGCAATAGATTGCCTGAGACCATACAGAATGCTGAATGTTCTATTCGTGATCATTTTGCAAAAGGAATAAAACACCAACACAGACAAATATGCTATTGATCCCAAACGTACCAAAAAGAAAAGATATTACCATAAAAGTGCCATGAATGTTTGAGAATCAACAGGATTGCAGAGGATGTGACCTTCTAAGGCTGGAGTTGGCTCCTGGATCCACAGAAACAATGTGTCACTTGTGCCAAGGCTAATCTGGAGGAGGAAAAAAAAAAGTAATTGAGGCGTTATCACAACGTGCATGGAAAGCAATACAGAAATTAAATTAAAACCATTTGTTATCACCACTAATTGTTTTTAAATTACACATTAAGTCAATTGGATTCATACTGAAGCTAGCTCTGACTTTCAGGTTGTCACATCAGTGAAATACATACTAGACAGAGACTTAGGCCTTAGTGACTGGAGCGTTAGTTAAAAATAGTTACACAGTTTGCTTAAAATCTTTCAGACAGCTTGCACATTGATAGAAATAAAACAAGCATGAAGCCAATAAACAGAAAATCAACACTGGCAGATTAATTTGACTGATAACCTACAGCTACTGCCCTTGTTACTGTTCCACATTTCATACACTCTACTTATTCAGGGACATGAACAGTTTTCAGAAATACGTTTTGACTTACTGCAATATCTCCTTCTTGAAGCCTCATCCCTGCCAACGATGCTGAAACCAGAAGTCAGATAAAAAGTTACTTGTGTGACTCAATTATAGCATACCGCATGAGACGTCACAGTACACTGAATTCACCATCTCAAAGCAGAATATAAATGGCAAGTATACTTGTGACAGCCTTGGCCTGTACACGTAAGAGTTTGGGCGATGGAGTTATTTTTGACACTGAATCAAAAACATTCAAGGCCAAGAGCTACAGAGCTGCAGGATTCTCTAAAGTTTTGTATGTTCAAGTTTTAAATACTGTGGAGCCTTATTTAAAGCACAAAGGCTTCCACTTACAGACTACTCATGTATCTATTGGACTAAACTGAATTTTAATCTCAAGAAAAATCAATTCAATTTTCAAGACATTCATCTCCCATACTGCTCATGGGAAACATTCCAGGATGAATCCTATATCTCAATCCAAACCAGGACACGCTCCTGTAATACAGCAAGCACTTTCACAGTCCTGAGAAACGGATGGCTTTGCTCTGTCTGCACTTAAACAGTTTTGAGGATTACAAAACCTGACCCTAAATTAACATCTTCCCCTATATTGGGATCTACCACTCTGCAAAAGGACAGCTCTAACTCTTAAAGAACAGCTGTAACATCCATCTCCATCTCTTTGACTCAAAAGATACAACAGCAGGCTTTGTATTCACATTTCCTAAGTCAAAAATGGAAGCAATTCGTTTTAAGAATTGGCTGTTAGGTGGAGACAAACAAAAACTGAAGTTATCAGGAGGCAAACGAAGTCACCTCCAAATAATAGGCTAAGTGGAAGTCATTTGCAATACTCTGCTTATCCGAGATGTCTATATCTAAGAATAATCAGTGAGGGATGGCTGTCAGAAAAAGCTATTAATGCTGATAAATGTGATATCCTTTCACTGTATAAAGAAGCATCTGAGAATTAATAGTATTGATCTAGAATTTCAGTACACGCATAAACATATTCACTGAATCTTACACACTTAATCATCTCACCTGGATTGTCTCCTGTAAAGGCTACTATTTTACAGTCTGGGCTAAACTCATAACGCTGAACATAATATGGAGAAATGGATCCCTAAGGAAAGAAAGAAATACAGAGCAAGGAAAAAAAGCTCAAAATTGGAAAATAACCTCACAGCGTACAACACAGTGCTGTAATATAGTTCCAAAAACCCATAGAGCAGTTGAAAAATTTCTGTATATTTAAGGCATAAATATTTTCCTGATTTTGAATGTAATTTTTTTGTCAGACAATCTCAGAAACACACGCAGATTAGATTTTGAAATAGATCAAGTAAGCAGTAGCATTTTAGCCCTGGTTCACTCTCATGTTACTTACGTCCAATAACAAACATATCCACCTATTCTGCACACATGCGTGGAATACACAGAAACTAAAAATCCAATGCAAACACAACATTAATACACATCACAACATTAAATGTTGGAACATGAGGGGTCTGGAGCACAAGTTACAAGGAGCAGCTAAGGGACCTGGGATTGCCTAGTCTGGAGAAGAGAAGGCTCAGGAGAGACCTCATTGCTCTCTACAACTACCTGAAGGGAGGCTGACCAAGGTGGGGGGGTTGGCCCCTGTGATAAGAGACAGGAATAGAGGGAATGGCCTCAAGTTGCACCAGGGAGATTGAGGCTGGACATCAGGAAATGATGGAGGTGTTCAAAAATAATGTACTGAGGGACATGGTTTGGTGAGAAATACTGGTAACAGGTGGATGGTTGGACTGGATGATCTTGGAGGTCTTTTCCAACCTCAGCAATTCTATGATTCTAATATGACACCTGTTATTTTACAGGCCAACAACGGCACTTTTTTTTTTTTAAGCCACAGCTGACAGCCACAGAGGAAAAAAATAAGAGAACACAACAACTACCCTTACAAAAGTACAAGGACTTTGCGATGTTTCTCTCCATTAGAGAAGATTAGCATTAGAATCACAAGTCAGCTACGTTAACAGACTGACTAAAGACGAATCAGTGACAGATATCTATACTGTTTCACATGTGCACCATCTAAAGCAATAGCTCTTTTCTTTTTCCTGTTAGATACTAAGACTAAATTGATCTACTTGAAGAGATGTGAGCCTTGATTTGATTCCGTCATTATGCTACATGAATTGAGGAGCTCTAAACATCCCCAATTATTCACAAAGATTAACTCCTTAATTCTACAATTTAAAACGAGGCTGCTGCTAAGTAATGCAAATGTTGAGTTCTGTTTCTGCAGCAACAAAAGCCACACACAGTTCTGCAGTAGCCAGCTGACTAGAGGACATATATGGGGATTGGGAAGAGAAAACCCCAACAATTCTCATCACTGGAGCATCTGCCAAATTGTTGGTCTTCATAGCACAGAGCATGCTAGAATCCAGGATGATCCACAGTGAAAGCTATGACAGATACCTGCTACCAGTTTCCAAAAGTGTCCTCTTCTGCTCTGACACGCATATGTACAGAATACCTGCAAGTATTAAATCAACCAACATCGCTCTGAGGGTAACTGTGCACACAGACACACACTCAAATATACTCCAAGAAAGAACCATCAGCAGAACTCTCAACAAAAAGCTCTAATTTTTTCCAGTGAGAAATATTTTGCCATTCTTTGTTGTTTGTGTGGGTTTGGTTTGCTGGTGGTTCTTATTTGTTTGCTCATTTAAACTCCTCTAGACAGGCACATACCAGAACTGAATGGGATGGCACAGGGTTTCCCAGTTTCTCCACTAACCCTGGTGCACAAGCATCAAGGCAGGATGCTGACCACACCTTTTCCCAAATTTGCAGCAGATTCATACCAGAACCTGAAAGATACAGATCAAAACAAGAAGCACAGATCATTAAACACAAAACTTGGGTAAAGAAAACACCACTACATCACAAAATTCCACCTCGTTAGAGGCAGCAGAGTTTACAAAAAACATTCTACATTCAAATAGAATGGTCTCAACCCTTCTAAGTACAATTGATACTGATGATTCTACCTAACCGCCTTTCATCTGCAAGGTTGCAGAAAATACTTCTCTGATGCACACTGCAACAGAAAAATCAGTTATTTTCAAATAAAGAAAAGAGAAAACATATCTCTCCACTGACTCCTCCTCAATCCTTCTGCTTTATAGAAATACTTCACTACTGTCTAGATGCAGCAGTGTCACCTGAAGGCAAGTTGTCCTCATCTGAGACCTAACAATGAAGAAACTCTATCCTAGGCAGCTTGGCTATGCACTACTATCTTTGAGCATCAAACCAGCACCTACATCCACTGCCCACATTGACTCATCTTCCTCCATATCAGTGCTTCCTTCTTCAAAGACAATGAAATAAAAATACCAGTTGCAAAAATAAAAACAAAAACAAAAAAACCACCCTAGCTTAGAATCATAGAATCATTGAGGTTGGAAAAGACCACTAAGATCATCAAGTCCAACCACCACGCCATCACCACCGTGACCACTAAGCCACATCCCTCAGTGCCACATCTCCACGTTTCTTGAAAACCTGCAGGTATGCCAATTCTACCACTTTCCTGGGCACATCATTTTCTGTTTCATCTCTCATTGCTTTTTTCTCCTCACTATTTTATTTGCACTGTCCCAGTTTATAAAGTTAACTGAAGCAGTGATCAAATCTAAGCAACCTGCTAAGCACTCCACATCCCTTGCTTGTATTTCTAGGATGTCTTTAATTGCACATTTCATTAGACTTGAAAAATCTGTAAGCACTACTGGTTAATGCTGTTCAGGGACATATTAGTCTTACACTGGATTAACAACATTTTCATTTTGAAGACTGTCTAGCCTGTGACTTATTTATCTCAGAAACACAACCACGTTCTCAGCCGAGCACTGGAATACCTGAAGTTTACTTCAATTCAATACATCTTGAAACTGTGAAAAAACACAAAGACAGTGAAGTTGACCCAGCAGGCACTGTCTGTGGAATAAGATGACACTCACAGTGCTGGGACACAGAGGAAGAGAAGGTTTGTAACCTTTGTAACCTTGTAACCTTCAGGCAGCATTACACAAGGCTCTTACTCTGAACAAATCCACAAGTCTGCCATACTCCCTCTGCATACCCCACTGCTGGTTAATCGTGCACAAATAAGCTGACATTATCAATTCCCAGCAGCCTTTCTCCACAGATCAAAGACATTTATTTCTAAAATATCTATTCATACAGCTCAATCCTAAGCATCACCAACAAGGTCTGGACTTAGTGCTTTGCACTGCGCAAGCACCTGAATAAACCAAGCCAAACAGCAGGAAATTTGAACTATACTTAGTAACATTTACAATAGAATTAAATTTGTTAAATTCAATTCATCTAATTTCACGCAAATTAAACACACTTAAATTATGCACCAGTTAGTTTCCTTCTCCACTGTTAGAGTCATTACCACCAAGAGAAGGAAAGATGATGACTCAGACCAGCTTTTCTCACTTCTCTTAAATCTAGCCATCCCTCCTGCCTAGGAAACCTGAGTCCAGCATCACCATCTGCTCTTCCAAGGGATGAAGAGAGTGAGCAGCCTCTTCCCAGGCCTCCCAGGCATAATAGGGCTGCCTAGGAAGAATTAAGGAAAGCTAGAAAGTTTCCTTGAAAATCTCCTAACCAGCGATCAAGGAAGTCTTTAAATAAATAGGAACTTTATTAGAGAAAGGGTAGCTGTTGTTTCCTCAGAATTTAAATCCTTCACCCCCATACCCTGCAAGCATAGGGAAACACTCAACCAGTATCTTCCAATGCAGTTTTTGAAGATATAAGGAGTGCTTCCAATCTTTCCTCCATAAAAATAGAGAAAACAGTAACATTTATGACTGAAAAGGTCTAAGCTAATATATAAACTGAAACAGCACTTCAGTTTTATTGACTGGTAGACACAGTCACACAGAGACTCTGTTATGCCCTGATAAAAGATAGACAAACTAATTTACCTCACTCTCAAAAACTCATTTAAAAGATGTGAAACAATTACTTGATAAGAAGAACCTGCTTATTGGCCCAGATCACCCTATCCAGCTACACACACCTGAGAAAGAAACCAGAGAGCTGGATGCTCCCTGGAACTGCTTCCTCCTTCAATTACATGTGGAGCAACACAACGAGCACCTAACTCAAGCACCTCTGGTTATGATCTATGCCAGTTCTAGAAATAAAAGTGAGTAAAAAATGGCTTAAGAACATCATTGTAAGTTTAACATAAAAATAAGTAATACAATTAAAAACAAGGAAGAAAAAACAACAAAATGCAACCCTTCAACTTGCCACTCCAGATGTCACCCCATCAGTAATGAGGAAGGTCAACAGTCAAGTCCACAGTCTGGTAAGAATGGAGGAAAGGTTCAACACAGAAGTGAGCAGAATTCAGCATCCCACTGCAAGCATCACTGACTTAACATGAAGTGTTCAGGAGCACAACTGGGACTTGCTAACATTTACTGCTTATATAAAAATACAAGGTTGGAAAAAAATCATCACCAAGACCAAAAGAAACCGACTAACTGGCTTCATTAATCAACAACCCAAAGATCAGTATTTGCATATATTTATAAACAGGTAAGTGCATTTGTGTTACAGCGCTCCAGATTGCCTTCTCAAGAGCCCAGATCATAAGCAGCATAACTCTGCTGACACCAACAGCCTACATCAAGAGTAAGTTCAGCTTACTGTGCTTCCTTCTGAATAGGCTTCAGCTCTAAGCATCCTAATTTGGTTGAACAATAGAAGCAAGTATGCTAAGCTATAATTTGCCTAAGGCTCCTAGAAAAGCATTACAAAAGATAAAGCTTCTCTAGGTCAAGAGCTGAGTAGCTGCTCTTTAAGGTATCTTCTAAAAGAAACAACACCTGAAGTGGCCACTTCATTCATATGTCCCAAATGTATCTTACTTTTACCTTCCACACAATATAAATAAAAATCATTCTTTGTTCCACCAGAATGTAAGTTGATTTCTTTCAAATCAATCAGACAAGGTGCTCAGCCATTCATAAGGAGCCCATAAAGTTCATCTGAACTTTGTGAGATTGGATCTTTAAGAAGAAAAATGCCTAAAACTGACTAGCACATTCCCTACAACATCATGAAAATTTGAAGAGAGAATTGTGCAGAACTAAGCAATTTGACAAGTTTTTTAAAGGCAATATGTCCTGAAGTCACACCTACAGAAATGAAGATTAAGCCTATTACATGAACATTATTGAGACGTGTTTCAAACTACAACACACAGGTGCAACATAAAAGATCAAGGGAATTGCAAGAAATCGTATGTGACAAGCAAGTTTTACAGATGGATCCAAATAACTGCTGCAATTATATTTCAGTACTGAAATTAGAATTCTCTCTCATTACATTAACAGAAGATAAGAATGTACAAGACCAAATACAGCTTACATCACCAAAAAGTCTTCTGCGTTGTAAAGAGAACTGTAACATCCTGCTTAGTTCCCTTATCTTTTTTCACAGAGATTTAATAATCTTACATGCTCTGAACAGTAGATAACATTGATTCACGTTACGTAAATATCCAGAGGTACAACAGATAGGCTCTCCTTAGAGCTGTTCAAAAAAATGCAACACATGTTCTATGAAAATCTTCTAATGAAGCAACGTATTCCTTTGTCAGAAAAAAGCATCCTGAAGCTCTCAGTCTCTGTTTGAAACGCAGGACACGGAGCTTTGTGGAGGTCGCTGAGTGGCTGAAATGCTCAGTACTTGGGCCTACTGAGGAGCAAAGTAGCAATTCTGTGGGCAATAATACACATGCACAAATTTAGCTGTGAAAATACACAGCTAACAGAACAAGACAAGATGACAGATGCAGTAATCACACAATTGCTTCAAAATAGGAATGGATTGTCTTGCAATTTTTAAGGTCTCAAATATAAATGGGATACCTGGTATTGAATAAGTTGACCGTTAGCTAAAATTGAACTGTCCTGCTATTTCTATGAGCTTTGATGGAACAACAGAAGGGAAAAAATGAGCTGGTCTTCACACATGGGTGTCACCTACAGCTCTATAATGCAAAATTTCCTTAGAGAATCTTTTTATCTAACCTTTCAGCTCTGAAGAATATCTTCTCTTATTTTCAGAGACGGAATCAAAAATGCTATTTAGAAATAATAGCGCAGCTCCCAGGAAGGAGGCATTGCTTGTAACTGTCATTTAAAATTGCCATTGAAAAGCTGGATAACTGAGATAACACACAACAGAAAGGAGACACACTGGCCTAGTCACTTTGCTCTTTGTTATGATGAATAGAGCAATATAGAAGGTTACATTATGTTTTTTTCAAATAGAGCTTGGGTTTTTTTTGGTGGGGGGGAGGGTGGCTTGGTTTTGCTTTTCCTCTGGTTCATTCCAAAAGAATATCCTAGTTAGTTCCAGTTAGATGGTGGGTAGAGTGAGAGAAATAATCACAGTATGTATCTTGCTTGTGTCCTGCACAACTCAAAGCCAAAAGCCAAAACCAAAGCAAAAACCAAAGAAGAAGTATCAGAAGTTGAGCTGACATCACCATCTAGAGTAGCAACAAACTGAAAGGATAACAGGCAGAAATTGGAACACAGGAAGTTCCATACTAAAGTGAGAAAGAACTTCTTAAATGTCATAGTGACAGAGCACTGGAACAGGCTGCCTAGAGAAGTTGTAGAGTCTCCTTCTCTGAAGATACTGAAGGCCTGCCTGGATGCCTACCAGTGTGCTTGGACTCAATGATCTCTAGAGGTACAGACTCACCTATAGGGGTTGGTAGGTGAGTAATTTAGCTTAAAAACTAATACACTTGTCATTAAAGCTTAAAGACCAAAAATAAATGCCAGAAACCTCATCCCACTTTTACATCAGATAGGAAGAGAGACAAACTTTGCCTTGCTAAATAGTCACTACCAGAAAACCCCATACATACTTACCATCACTGTAATCAATGGGTGCATAAGCTCCTAGGAAAAGGGAAGCTGCAAAACTGCTAACTAAAGAGATCCTCTGAAAGAAAAAAACAGTGAGATAGTGATTCTCATCAGTACTGACTTCAAAGAAAGAAAATAACTTAAGTAATTGGAAGCAGCAGATGTTAATGGATGCTTAATGTTAGGGAGAATACACTTAAAAGTACACCTCCAAGGATTATTCAGTTCTATATTCCTGTTGAAGCAACATGGCAGACATCAGTTTAAAGGTAACCCTATGATAAAAGCTGTTAATAGTTTTGCATTCTGAAACATGCAAAATACACCAAGTATATTAGCATATCTATGTTATCATGAATTAATTCACAACTGAGGTATATTCTAGATCTCACTTCAAGGAAAAACATAAGAAAAAACAACAACTGGATGATCGGGGAAACAGCCACACACACTGGTCAACCTGGAGTGCAGGTCTGCAAGGCAAGGCTCTGACAACACCTCCATCTGAACTCTTACCATGCCAGCAGAGATGACAGATCTCCTAGGATTTACTTCCAGGAATTGGTAATCTGAACTAAATCAGTATCCGCTGCTCTCCCTCAGGTTATGTTCCAACAGCGCATTAGATGCTGCAGGGCTTCTAGCACCAGCTCTAAAATGCCCTGGTCACATAACACAAAACACTGATGCAACATGAACTCACTTCCATTTCAAGTCTGCTACAGGAACTACGAAGTTAATCAGCTACTGCTGAGCTTTCGGTAGGATCAAGTATTATCTGCCCCCAGAAACTGGCATAAGAGCTAACAAATTCCTTATTGTGCTCTCTAATTCAAAAGAGTTACAATTGTCACCCAACAACTAATCAGAATCAAATCTCTATGAGCCAGCAGTGACAGGGTTTTGTTATTAATGACCATGAAACCACTGCTTCGCATGGCATTCAGGGATGTACTATAGCCAGAGTTCAAAAATGTACTTATAGTGGCCAGGAAACTTAATGATGCACTTGCTCTTCATGCATCTCTCCCCAGGAATATATCACATTGTGCTTAGATAACAAAGGCCTACCTTCTGTGGTGCCCCAATGGGCACAAGCTGCCTGAAATGGAAGGAAAAGGATGAAGTTAAACTGTGAATCAGCTAGTTTATCAAGCTGACCTAGAGGAGGAAAGATATCCACCTTCCACATGCTGCTGAAACTATCAAGCTGCTAAGTGTTTCTTGTGGGTTCCTAAGAGCACAGACAATTGTGCTAGAACATAGCTTCTTGCACATCCTTTGCTGCCAAAAAGGTGGCATCAGTAACACCAGCCTTTTGTCTTAGCTTAGTCTGAGCACTTCTAGTTCCCAGGAACTCACCCCCCACCCTGCCCCTGCCATTAATGCATCTTTCTCCAAACTTATTCTTAAGCTTACCATCAACTTGCATTAGTCCCGTTTCGTTCCAGCCTTTACCAGCATAAAAAATTATATAATGAAACAAAAAGAAAAAAAAAAAAAAAATAGGCAGCAAAATTTGCAATTCACTTCCCCACAAAATTAAATATTTCATGCAGGAATAAGATTTTTAAAAATTATGATCAATGCTAACAAGAACTGCAGTAATGTAAAAGTACAAGCAGTCTGACTTCATAGGTCAAGATGTACGGCATTCTCAACTCACAGGACACGAACTTCTCCCTTGTTTATATCACATCTGCATGGAAGTTTCACCTTGTTTCAAACTATTTTAGTCACAGCCAGATGCAGACTTAACAAATTGAGGTATAGGAATTTATATAGATTTCTAAAAATTTAAAAAAAAAAAATCAGGAGGAAACTAAACAATGTGTTTCATTCGTAATAACAACCAAAGTTGTTTCCTGCAAGGGAAAAATTTCTGAAAAAACATCTAGAATTGACTGCAGTTGTTTCCTATGCATATCTGCATGGCTGCCAGCTTTGTATGGCAGAACAACTACACTTCTGGATGCATACAGCCAGTTGTCACTATTAAAATTTCATCTATGTGCTTAGCTGACCACTCATATTTGAACTGTTATATATACCAGCCTATTGGCACTCAAATAAAAGCCTGTAATAAAACTTACTCCACAAAAGCTAGGATCCAATGGAGCCCACTGTGTTACACCAGCATTCAGGAATTGATGCCCGATTTGTGTTTATCTAATGACTAACAAATCCACAAAAAGTAAAATAAAGAAAAAGTCACAGAATTTTATCTTAAAGCAAGCACAGAAGTAAAAATACTTTTAGGGGAGGAAAAAAAAAAAAAAAAAGGTGACATCACAAAATTCCACTTAAAAAGATTTTCAACTGTGATTTCCAATAAGTACAAGTTGAAGTTGAGCCAACCTCAGTTTGTGCGTAGACCTCAGGATTCTGGTTGTAAATCTTCGCTATCTGGTTTCCTGTAAAACGCTGAGAAAGAAATGCAAATGCTTAGAAACACAAACCTTAAATGGAGTCAATAATCATTAACTCTGTGTAATGAGTTCAGTACATTGCACTTTGGATATTTAATTTGTCTGATGCATGATGAAAGTCAGTGCACAGCAGGCAATCTGCACTAAACAGGCTATAACACATGGTCTCATTATGAGAATTTTGCTCACCTTTAAAAAAAATCTGAGAAAAAAAAACATTACTATACATAATTTAAATTTCAGAAGTGACGGTTCAGTGGAATGAATCACTCTTATTATGTGCTCAGGAATTAACACTATTGAAATGCTGCCTTCACCTTCTTAAAAAGGTTTAGGCTATCCAACCTGCGTGCCTCTCTGTGAGGAAGGTAAGTGGGAACAGGCAGGAAGTTTTATACTTAAAGAAGCAACATCAGTACAAGATATTAACAGTTTTGAGAAGAACTATTTTTCCTTCATATATTATATCAAATAACTAAAAACCCCATAATACTGATCTTCCAAAACCTTAACCTTTAGTAAGTTAAAAATAAACCGTTAGTAGTATATAAAATCTGATTTCAAACACTGGCTATAAACCTTTCATGATTCAAAACCAGAATGGGAATTCTGGGAGGTTAGAGCCTTACTTTACTGAACTAACAGCGAGAGCAGACAGGTGCAAAGATGCCTGCAGGGCAGCCCCACTCCCATTCCATAACTCTTTGTCGTGGTTGTAAGAGAGGGAAGTGCTGGGAAGATGAGATGAGTGACAGAGCACTCCCTGATAGAGTCCCAAACTTCTGAAGCTCACTTTTCTTAGGTTAACACAGCTGCTTGTTAGCCTTCATGGAACATCAAAAGGGCAATCTAAATTACAGAAGTAGCCTAGAGCAGTGATCCCAAAACACTGAGTCATTAACCCCAAGTAAATCTGTAACACAAAGTGAATTGTGATCCCAATGGAAACCTGGCTGCACAGGAGCTCCCAGCAGAGAGCTGGACCCTGAGACCGTAAGTACGGACACTGAACACCACATCTGGGGACCCACAGGCCAAGAGCAACAGCTTAATCCAACTTACTCCTGCACTGCTTCCTGAAGTAAAATTTCCAGTGTTTTGCCTAATTTTACTTGAGAATTTCCACAGAATAGGATTTCCACGTCTTTCTTCATGAGCTTACTGCAAAGCATAATATCACTGGAGTTTCTTTAGAAACACTGAATAAAACTGCCTCTTTTATAATTAACGGCTGATCATTATCTGCTGTGATGTGATAGAGTTGGTTTTGGTCACAAGACTCTGCTGAGGACTTTCTTGTCATGCTTCTTACCTCATAGGCTCGAGAACCAGTGATATTTGCTAAGCGCTGTGCTCCTCCCACAGCATTCTCCAGAGCGCTGCACTGCGAAGCTGTGCTAGAATCCATCCAGATGGGGCTGTTACTGACAGCAAAACAAGCCTGGAACAAACAGTATTCTTTAACAATAACACCTCATCTCTAAGAAGTCCCTACTGAAACAATAACAACACAGCAGACAGAGGAGTCAGCTCACAGGTCAGTTCTCTGATGTCCTCTCAGTAACTAAAGGAAAACAGTATTGGTCAGTATGTCAGCCAGTGGTGGAAAGCCTAACCCTGATGTCACACCTGAGGGAAGCAGCAGGCTTTATCTGCTGGTGCATCACACATACCCTGCAGCTGAATGTACTGCAGCAACATATCTGTACATTCCTTTGGAGGCCAAAGCCCCAGGATGTTTTATACAAGCTCAGACTCACTTTGACAAGCTTCTTCCCTCAACACTTAGATGATCTTTCTAGAGCTCTTCTAACAGATTTCTCTTCACTGACTGGCATAATAGTTAAGCAAAACAATGAGGCTTACCACATCACCAGACAGCATTTTCATTCCCTTTCCAAGATTTCTGCATGAGGTATCTCCAAAATTAATCATTTAATAGATCAGCTTACACACATGCCTCTCCTTCAGTATTCAAGTGTTGTTACTGCTCCGAGATTCACAGAATACCCCAAGTTGAAAGAAACTCACATGGGTCATTGAGTCCACCTCCCAGCTCCACACAGACCAAGCAAAATCCAAACCTGTATCTGAGAGCAGCGTCCAAAGGCTCCGTGAGCGCTGGCAGCTCAAGGTTGTGCCCACTGCTCTGAGCGAAGAACATTTTCCTGACACAAGCCCTTCCCTCTCATGGCAGGCCGTGTTGGGCCTGATTCACCCCAGGACACGGCTGCATATTGAACTACAGAAAGGACTTCAAAAGGAAAGCTGTTTTCTCCCTATTTTTCAAATACTAATCTGTCAAGTCGACGTGCAAAATATATCAAACCCCTCACTCCAAAAAAGTACTGAGGTTCAACAAAGTATTTGGTAGGAGATTCTGTCCACTTTATCATTTCAGAGCTAAGTGTAAATTTTTTTTTTTTTAATATTTTCTAATGAAAACTCAAGCACTGCAGGGAACTCTGGTGCAATAATATTCTTTACCATTTTTTCTTTTAATACGGGTTAAAAAACCTACAACATTTACAGGTTGTTTACAAAAATGTTATGTTTAAAGAACAAACAGGCTCTAGCTCTGACATTAAAAGATTCTGGGATGCCTACTGGCACCAATAAGCTTTTAAAACAGTAAATACTTTCACTCAAGAGAACAGGAAATGCCAGGAGCTCTGGAGCTGAAGGAATAACCAGTACATTTCAATTTACACTGCAGGAAAATGCAACCAGAGAAAACACTTGCAGGGGAAAAAAAAAGAAAAAGCAATGCATGAAGACCAGGAAAAGGCCAGTGTAGCTCTCCTTTCAAAGTTCTTGTGTGAACATTACCTTCAGTGACTGATGTAAAGGCAGCTCGGGTGATGCATTCTTTAAGATCTGGATGCTTCCCTTCTTCCAATATACACTTCCATGTTGCTGTAAGAAGTGCAAAAATACAAGTTGGAGATAGTCCCCCAGGATATGAACTTTGCAGCTTGATCTGAATTTGAAGCTCTTAGGGACAGAGAACTCTCTCCAAACTACAAGAAAGAAAATGTACCTTCTCAAACCAAGTGCCTCATATTAAAGGACTATTTGAGACTGAGCAAACCAGAAAACATAGGAGTTGAGACAAATATGACCTTAAACTACAGCAACTTTTAGTGGAAGCTGTTATCACACTACTAGCCCATGCCATTAGCTGTTTTTTTGAGGGCTCTTCCAGCTGTAGCCAGAGCTGCACAGACAATTTGTTCCTGGCTCTACCTGCACAGACCCCAGGTCCCGCAGTCACGTGCCCACCCCAGCCACTGCTAACCAACTGCATAATACTGAATAAGCTGCTTAACCTCCAACTCTCAGAAGCCTTTCTAATGTCAGACAACTCTAGCTGTTCATATTTAGATCACCCAAAGCAAACTATAAGGCACCATTCAGTGTTCCACTAATGATGAACCTCCCAGGCCCACAGTTCTTGACCCACGTTATGATCCAGATTGTATCAACGTTTCTGTTCCAGTTCTGCCGACAACTGAGACCAAAAGCTGGCACGCTGGTACGCCTCTGCTATCTGAATGGCAATACAGAGACAAGATTCTTAAGAGAAAAGGAAGAATGGCAATGTGAGTTGGAAAGTGGCAGTTAAAAGAAATCTACTCTACCTGAAAGAATCTGAATGTAGCGACCCCAAGTTATAGAAGCACAGTGGTTTTAATTCGAAGAAAGAAGTTGAAGCAAAGGGAACAGTGGCAGTTTGGAAAACCAATTCCTACTTCTGCTTGAAAGAGCTGCACTTTCCTTCCAGTCTCTAACTTCTATTCCACTAAGGAATTCCTAACAAAGCCTTGATGCAGGTTATTATTTTCATACACTTTGTTCCAGCAAATAATACATGGAGATCAAAGCAACAATTTAGATTAATTAGCCCCAGATCTACTTAATGAATAACCTAGCTCTCATGTGTCAGAATTAGCTATGACTTTGCTGGTTTCTTCACTTTGAATACAATTTTAAAATCTGTGAAAGGTGCAAAAGCTTCCTTGTTTCACTACCAAAGTATTAGGAGACAAGCAAATTAACTAATTATCAGGATGGGTTTATTAATCTGAAAAAAATAAACTAAAAACGGCAGAACAAATCATGGCAAAGGCAGAATATTTGTCCTCACTGCATCAAAGGCAAATCTCTGCCCTAATCAATAAAAACCGTGCTCAACAAGACCTTACTATGCCTTCAGCAACCTCAGCTAATCATTTTCTTTTTTCTATCCTGTTTCTACAAGCACCTAGATATGCACAAAGTTATCCCAGCCACTTCAGATCTGCGTACATAATTGAAACAACAGGAAGCCAGCTATTTATGCACTGTACAGTGCACTTGTTTAGATCAGTAAGTCTCACCCTCCACTCCCATTACCTTCTGTAGATTGCTCCATATGTTTCAGGTTTTAGGCTCCCTTGAGTAACACATCTTTTAATGGCTGCTTAATATGGAAGATTTGATATTACTTGATGTCTTTAAGATCTACCATAACACGGAATGGTTTTAAACTGAGACAGGGGAGGTTTAGGTTGGATATTAGGAGGAAGTTTTTCACACAGAGGGTGGTGAGGCACTGGCACAGGTTGCCCAAGGAGGCTGTGGATGCCCCATCCCTGCAGGCATTCAAGGCCAGGCTGGATGTGGCTCTGGGCAGCCTGGTCTGCTGGTTGGTGACCCTGCACACAGCAGGGGGGTGAAAGTAGATGATCACTGTGGTCCTTTTCAAACCAGGCCATTCTGTGATCCTATGATATAACTATTGAAAGGAAATATATGACTAGATAGTATGCCTTCATTAGAGTTTACGTTAAGAGTGATTTCTCTTTTTATGAACTAACCTGGCCAGCACCAGACAAAGCTCTGACTTGAGAGAAGTTAAATCCTGAAGACTTCATCTTCTCCAAAATCATATCCAGAGCCTACAAGAACAAACAGAATCAAGAACGACAGTAACGAGATACCAAATTATGCATACTCACAGGCCTTGGGATTAAAGAGTAAACTCATGTCATCACTAGTAAGAGTTCATTGGCAGGTAATGAAAAATTAGCTAATGACAAATTAGCTAATGACTATGGATTTCAAGAAGCCGCATACATTAATTTACTAAGTAAGAGTCCATAAAAGGAAAGTTGAATCACAAAGAGGAAAAAAAAAATATTTAAACTAGCTGAATCACAAAGAACCATTCTTTGAAATCTAAATAAAAGGAAGATCTAATAAATTCCAATTCATTTAAAAGCAACTATTAAGAGAGCCAGTTACAAAACACAATTAACTTTTTCCGTTCTTACTTTTGGAAATCTATGACATTTTTAATGGTGTGCAACCTACAAGTCATCCTACAGGATGCTAAAAGGCAACCTCATTATCACCAACTCCAGCATCTGCTGAAAGTACATTTTTGCACTGAAGTACCTAGGTTACTTTCGCTCTATTTTACTAAAATTTAAAACCAGAAAATCTGTTTTTATTTAAGCTGATTCAGATCTGCATTTCTCAGACTTTCTTGATAGATGGACCACCATAATGCTTCAAAATTTCCCAAGAAACCATTATCATATACTAATTTAATAAATAAACTGTTTATTATGTTTCTACAGACCACCTGCAACCAATTTACCAAATCTTCTTGTATTATCAGACAGAACTGCTGTTGATCACCAACTGGGAATTCTGTGACCTTTTAAATGTCTTTAACTATTCAAATCACAACAGCACCATGCGAGAGCAAGAGTTGCAGAAACTGCTTTCAAAACAGCAGACAGTGTTATCTGTATTTCAAAATAAATGCCAGTCAAGATGACTGGGAATTACTAAATAAATTGCTCTTCAACCACTTGCCATTTGAGACACGAATCAGTTAGCAAAGTTCATTCTAAAGAGACAGTGCAACCTGGATGCTGCACAACCACAGTAAAGCTAGGCAAAGCTTCTTATAACAGAAAGGAAGCTGAACCACATACTACAAATACTCCCAGAAGGCTGACATAACAGCTTGTCCATACCTTGACCCACATTAGCACAGGAGAAGTGACTGTCAGTCGGTCACTGTGAACGTGGGCTCCACCTTGAGTCCTAGAAATGGAAAAATGGTATTTTCTTCATAAATTCAGTACATTTTTCCCCATCAAGCAAAGTTTTTCAAGTTTATTAAAACTAAAGAGAGCTTGCAGTGTTGTCTGGGGTTTTTGTTTTTTTGTTAGGAGCAAAGAAAAGATCAGAGTTTGAAAGCTGAAAAAGGCCAGCTCTTAGGAAACAGCATTAGAGAGAGACCCAATGCCAAAGCAAATAAATTGCAAGGAAGGACTTTTGTCCTGGTGTAAGATCTGTGATAGACTCTAGTGCTGATGCTGCTCATTGGCTCCATACAAGTAACAGTTATCTTTAAGTTTCCTAACTGTCACCATTAGTGACTTAAATCTAGAAGATGAAACTCAGTTTTTTGCTGTAAGCAAATGTACTTTACTGACACTTATGACCATAGCGGATGGAATTTGTAAATTCTTATCTATAAATCAGAATTTATACATTCTAATGTGACATTGAGAGTCACTGAACCTGTCTTCAAAAGCCTTTTAGAAGTTCCTCTCATGCAATTTATTCACTGTTATCACAGCATTCCATCCTGACACAGAGGCAGTGCTTACTTCTGTGTCCAAAAAGAAACAGCCACCTGTTAACAGCAAAAGTCCCAGATGAGAAAATACACATTGGTTAGTTTACACGTAATGCCTTAGGGTGAGAGGGTCTTTTTATTTCCTCTTTCTCCTCTGGGGAATTCTTGCCATATTTACATATCAAGCAAGGTAAGGGCACAAACTTCACTTGTGAAGTACAAAACACAAATGCAGCATAACTGCTTCCATACCTCTACACATACCAACAAGAGCAAAGCAGGCAACAGACCTGTCTCAATAGTCAAAGTTCTAAACGAGATTATCCAAGTAAAATACAAAAAAAAACTTACTTAAATTCTGAAAGGTCTTTATCAAAATTAACATTATCCTCATAAATGACTCTCAGATGTTCATCAATAGCAATGACTTTCAGCTAGAAGAAATAAAACAGGATGTTAACAAAAACCGTCCAGCAACATAATTAGATAGCACTGGTAATTCATTTATAGTAACTCAATTCTCACAGATAAAAAGGGAAAGAAGATCACCCCAATCCATACAAATGACTATAAGTACGGACACAATTTTACATGAAACAAGTCATTGTGTGAATTTACAGCATGTCAGTTATCCAGCAATGTGTGTATTTGCTTGCATTTTCCCCTACACTTTCTCTCTCTCTTTAATTACACCAAAATAAGGTGCAAGCTAAAAGAAAAAACAGTAAATGAGATACCCATTCCCAGCTTGCACCACAGTAACCAATCCATCCAAGGAATACAGTATCTTAGGTTAAACACGTTGTATTTTCTGTGTGTTTTTCTTAATAGCCTCATCTTCAGTGATAGGGCTGGAGCACGTCCCCTTGAAGACACGATGGGGGAGCTGGGCTTGTTCAGCCTGGAGGCTGCGGGGTGACCTCACTGCAGCCTTTCAATACCTAAAAGGAGCCTATAAGCAGAAATGGAGTCAACTCCTCTAAAGGGTAGATAAAGGCAGGACAAGGGGAAATGCTTTTAAGTTGAAGGAGGGAAAATTTAGGTTGGATATCAGGGAGATCTTTACTATGAGAGCGGGGAGGTGCTGGAGCAGGCTGTCCAGAAAGGAGGATAAGGATGCCCCATCCCTGGAAGTGTTCAAGGCCAGGTTGGATGGGGCACTGGGACAGTGTTAAATATGTAGGTTGGTCACCCTCCCTCTGTTTGGGGGGGTTAGAGATTCATAATCCTTGAGGTCCCTTCTAACCCAAGCCATTCTGTGATCCCTTAATTCTGCAAGATTATCCAAGAACTTTGCAGACCTTTAGAACACTTTGAGGATCTTCCCTCAACCCCTAAACAGGGAGTAAGCTGATCTCTACCAGGCAAAGCTCAGAAGACACTACACAGCTGCACACTTAGCTTCTGCAGCCAATGGAAAGCAACATCCCAATCTCAAGTCCATCACACTGAGCTTTCTTGCAAGCACTGGCTAGGTGCACAGACTTTCCCACTCTAGCTTTTGTCAAGTTTAACTAGTGATGAAGAAAAAAATTAACAGCCTCAAATAAAAAGCAAGAATGTAGTTCATGTCCTGCATTTTAACAAAGGAAAGAACGCAAGCTGCTGCTAAACGAACAGACTGAAAAATAACTACAAGGATCGTCATCTCAAAGAGCTGTATTCAAGTAACAAAGCCATTGCATTTGGGGGGGGTTATTTAATTTTAGCCATATTAATGTAGGGCCTCATTTATGCACTACCACCACTCATTACCAAGTTGGTGCACTGTGCTAGCCTTAACATGGCTCTGATCAGCTGCAGCTTAATTGGCTTTCTGCTTGCTATGTTCTCCCTTAAAAATAATCAACTTAATACGAGTAACCTGCATATGCCTCTTCAGCACAGCCATAACGAAGTGACTTACTTGCATACCTGCTAATTAAACAAATTTGGGCAGTGTGGTTGACACCAGACTATGCTGACAATTCCAAAATTGAGGAATTCCAGAATTCCCAGCAATTGTAAAACCCTCAGCATTAAAGCGCACAGTTCTACCAACACTGATTTGGCCACATGGGCCAAAGGACAAGAGGCAGAGGAATGCAGCCCGGTTCGGGCGTGCAGCTTCAGACAAACAGCAGCAGCACATCGCTAGAAGAGGTGGCCCAACAACCTTACGCAGGCAGATGGAGGCGTGCAGAAGGCTGGGCGGATATACAGCAGCCTGTGCTCTACAGCCAGCAAGAGGCAGTGTTCCCAACTCGGGAAGAGGAAGCGCCGAATTCCCGGGGAGCAGCACGGCACGGCCCGTTAAGCGCGAGCAGCCGGCTCCAGCCCACAGGAAGCAGCGGCGGAGCCGCATAAGGAAGGAGGAAACCTGCGGTACCTGCTGCGTGCTGAAATCCCATCCCAAGAAGCAGGGGGCGGCCATGTCGAACCCCGCCGGACAGGGAAGCGGCGGCCTTAAGCCCGGCCTTCCCCCGGAACGGAGCTCCGCACCGCAGCGGCTGCTTAAAGGTGAACCCGAGTTAATGAGTGTTCGGCTGCGGCTGGGCGAGCAGCGTCAGGTTCTGTGAGTCTGCAATCAGGGAAGGTCCAGCTGGACGAAGCTGAAGCACCGATCTGTCTGAAAGCGAAGGCGTGTCGAATGGTCACCCGGTTTGTAGTAACGCTTCTTTAAATCACAGGATTGCAGCGGTTGGTGCTGCTGAGATTCCTCTGTCCACGAAGAGATCGGGCTGGGTGGATCTTACTGCATGTTTCCTGTAAATAAGGACAGATATGGAATTGGAAGGCTTGAAACGCTCCTGTTTTCAATGTACAGTTGCTCACAAAAAAAATAAATAAAAATAAAAAATTGAAGTCACAGAATCACACACAGGCCTGTGTTGAAAAGGACCGCAGTGATCATCTCGTTTGAACCCTCCTGCGATGTGCAGGTCCACCAACCACCAGACCAGGCTGCCCAGGAAGTCAGCCCTAAAGAAAGCCACAGGAACGATGAATCGCTTCGGAAAGAGACAGCTGTGCAACTTTCAAAAGAAGGTGTTAGAACTGAAAAAGGAAGCTTTTTCAGGGAAAGTACTGAAAAAGGATTAATAAATTATATAAAGCAGTCTTACATCGTGAGAATGTAAGAATCAATTCCGTCCTTCAGCAATGAGATCGTCCAGTGGTCAGACTGCTGTGTGAAATGCTTGGCTTTAAACAGCACAGAAAAGTTACAGGATTGGGATAACAGCCCTAGTGTTATCAGATCTTAAATTATTGTGGAAGAATGCATAAGGATTCCACAAGGACAGAATGGGAAAGTTAATTATGCTACTTTTACTGTTCAGGTCTTTCTAATGAACATCAGGATGTTCTCAGAACCTCATTCTGTCATTCTTACACCTCATCCCAACAGGTCAGCATTCTCCCAGATTTAATTGCTTCTGTATGGAAAATTGACATTGCAGCTTTTCTTTCTGTGTTAAGGCTTACACTGGCGGTCATTGCCATAACCTCTAAAATCGTTTCTTGAAAGCAAACAAGGATTAGAGCTGTGTTGTTATCAGTGAAGTTGCATTCATGTGCCACTGATGTTTTGGTACTGACGAGTCCAAAATTTCCAGAGAGCATGGACAAAATGTCACCATCACAGATTAACAGTTTGAGGCACAGCAAAGATTAATCACTCACAGCACATATATACAGTAAAGGGAAAAGTGGGCTTTTTCCATTTTCCTATCAACCAGTTTCTGCAGTTTTGCACAGACCTGCTATAACAAAGGAGCAATACTGCTATGCTTTAGGTCTCTAGCTGTTCTGGTAAATTTTAACTACTCAGCTAACTAATGATATTGATTTCCCCCCCAACCTAACTACTGTGCTTCAGTATCATCCCATCATCTGAAAGGTGCCAAAAAACTAGGGAACAGCAAGACCAGACCTTTGATACTAATTAACATTACCATACTGACTGTAGTCCTCATGGATGTGGGCTACAGAATTGAATGGTAGGTGAAAGTATTTACACCTTCATAGGAGAAGTCCACAAGCTGCTTCAACGCTACCCATCCTTTTGCTTCCAGCAGATTTGGGGCCTCTACCTACTTAAATAGCTAGACAGCCAAATATTCTCCATCCCAAACAAGTACTTCACATTGGTACATCAGCAAAGGTTGGCTCAGCACAAACAAGACAGCATTACACATAGTGCATGTACACAGCTGATATCCCTACAACTAAGGCAGTCCATGTTAGACCTAGCATTGCTGGGCTTGGTGGCACAATTGTGCTTTTTCCCATAAGAAATCTTGTGGGTCTTTAATTAACCTCAGAAACATCAAAGTGTACTACGTTGGGTCAGATGAATTTCTGCCTATTTGCCAGCCAGTCTCACAGTCATATGCAATGCTGCTAATTAAGTGGGAGAATGTTTACAGTTCTAAGTTCTATGTAACGTAACAATAATACTCCACCTTAAGGAAAAAAAAAAACCACCTCAGTGTGAGCACTAGAGCTGCCTTCTGGAAAGATACCTGAACAACAATAATTCTCTAAAGGTCATCCCTTTTCTACTTAGCACCACCAGTATTCTGTTATCAGAATTTTCAGCAATGTTCAACCAAGTGCTGATAATTCAAAATACCACAGTATCATAAATTAAAATACAAAGTTGCTGTTCTATGTAATGAGATGAACCTGTAACATCAAAAGTGTTTTCCCTTCTGTAAATATGCACTTATCCACCAAAGTACTTTATGCTAACAATTGTGTTTATCCATACCTCCAGACACTGTAGAGAACCTCAGCTTTCACTCTGCCAGAATAAATACTTATTGTTTAAAAGTAATGTATCAGGACTGTTGTTATCCACTAATTTTAGTGATTGCACTGTGAATGAGCAAAAGTTTATAAGACAAAGATCCAGCAGAAGCCTCTTGCACGAGTTCCACTACAGGAAGCCCAAACCAGTTGTTTCACTGGGACTGAAGACATCCCTTATTTAGGTGTAGAAATTATCTGCAGTTTTATTGCAGGATTTAGTTCTTGGCACGTGTATACTCAAATTCCCAGGTGCTGGACTGCACTAACTAACTAAGGGCCATTAAGAGGCCACCCCTCATGAAGAACTGGCACAGGGTTTCAGATAACAGCCTATGAAAGCACAGGAACAGTGGGTACTTGCAAAGAATTTAAATGATGGCTTCGCTGCCCAATCTGTTGGTTATACTGTCAGTTTCATGTGTATTGGTCAGGTCAGAGCCTGCACTAAATCATGTACATAAAATCCTCCAATTTCATTTCTACTAATTTCAATAGAAATCTATTGAAAGCTCTCCACTTCAGTAGGCGCTGAATCAGGCACTGTGGAATTGCTTCTGGTTTTATATACTCTAGTTTTACAGATGTCATTTCACTGACTTCAGTTATGTTACTAGTGATTACGAAGTGCAGAACAAATTCCTCATGAGATCTCTGCATGGAAATGAAGGATGTTTCTGACTGGCAAATCATTTTTTAAGGACACTTCCCTCCTCTGTACAGATTTCAAGTCCACATTCACTCCACAATAGTGGTAGCACTCACCATCCTCTTTGGAGGACTGTCTTTACCACAGTCATTTGCGAGGCTTATTCAATCTTACCCACCTGGCAGATTCCCTTCAAGAGGAATACTGAAGTGGCTTGTGTCCTAAAGCCCAAAAGCAAGATGTTGTCATCCTGATAAAACTTTTCATTAACAACAGATTAACCAGTTCTTTCGTGCTGTATCTGATTCTTATCACTCTTACAGATAAGTACATTTTATTGATTAAAAACAATCAAGGGTAAATTAATTCCTACTCAAACAATGCCTAAGTGGAAAAAAAATAAGAGCCAAGCCTTGCACTTCTTAGCACTATCCAGCAAGAAGGAAAAATTATTTTACAATCAAGAATAAATCAAATTAAGGTAGTTTACAAGTGGAAAAAATATCCAATCATTTTTAGATCTTATTTGAACTTGGAACGTCTCCATGAGTTCCTCCATGCAAGTGGTTTTTGTCTGTTGCAAGAACAAATAAATGTAAGTGGCTGGAGCCATTGTAACTCCATGGGCTGGAAACACTGAGAAACAGCTCATATAGAAAATATACTTACAGAGCAGTACCATAAAGATGAGCTCTGTTTATCAGTAACTGGAATTTAAGACATTCAAAAATCAAGGAAACTGCAGTGAATTTCCAAAATCCTCTCAAGGCCTATTTGTGGAGGCAGTTTACTTCCCTCTCGTCCACTTCTCATGGACAGTATTATAACGTTAATATCACAGAATGATAAAATCGTATGAGTTGGAAGGGAGCCTTAAAGGCCATATGGTCCAATTCCCCTGCAGCAAACAAGGACACCCACAGCAGCATAAGGTGCTCAGAGCCCCATCCAGCCTGACCTTGGCTACCTCCAAGACTAAAACTACCATTTTGTTTGTCATTCTGATTTAAGAAACCCTGTAACCAAGAAGAAAGGGAAACAGGAAGGAAAGATGGCAGGGTTCATTTGTTTGCGATGTCTAAAATGTAAATAACTTCACTTTCTTCTTTGACTTGCCTCTGCACATTGTCACTCACAAGAGGGCATCTGAGGAGTTCTCAGTGGGCAACCAAAACAAAACCACAAAATGAACAGCAAATCCTGACCTTACGTTTTGGATGCTGACTGTTCAAACAGAGAGAGAGAGATTCCAGTCCTACTCATGCAGACAACCAACAGAGTAAAGACAGCTAACAGTGCAAAGCTTGGCATTTTAAATTACTTTCCATAGCAGTTAACGTTCCAAAGGAAAGTTAATTAATCCTCAGCACCAATAGAGTGAAGTCAGAAGAACAGAGGTTTTTAAATGCTGCTTATGCCGGGCACAAAAAAAATACCCCACATGCAGGACATCTGCTGCATTTAACCCCTCACCATCACTGCAGTTTAATTTAATGTAGGTGAATCCATCTGAGCCAGGCTCTGATTCACTTGATCGAGCTGTAGGAGTCCCTGTTCACTGCAGGGGAGTTGGACCAGATAACCTTTAAAGGTCTCTTTCTACTCAAATGATTCGGTGATTCTATGAATCCAGTGATTTTGACCCTACTGCCTTTATCACCCACAAAAAGCAACCAAAAACCAAAACCCACAGTGACTGTGCAAAGGAATGGCATAGCACCAAGGTTTCAACACATGCAAAACCAGATATGAGAAGCAAAAGGTCAGCAGATAAAAGAAACATCTCGAGACCATTCTGAAATCTTGCACCATGGGCTTCTTCATGCCACTCTCATGATGTGCACAGAACACCAAAAAATGATCTTGCATCATTAGAGAGTGCTGTGCTCTGACTACTTAACCGGTCCCTAACTGCAGTGTGCCTGAAAGCTGTGCTCTGAGTAACAGAAAGATATGCGCTCTTGTAAAAAACCTCATTAAAAAGTAAATGATTACTATTGATTCTGCTAATATTGTCTGGAGCACCAATAAGGGCAGC